TCCAAAGGTGGTGATTCCTTTGGTGCATCATCATCTTCTTCTCGAGGCTCATTAAGGACATCATAAGAAGCCTGCAATCCCGTGGACATAGCTTGAGGCTCTTCTACATACGGGGTTCCAAATACTTTGCGATACACGTTCAAGAAGAGGCCCTTCTCTACTGAGTTTAATACACATTTATCATTCTCATAGACATAAGCAGCCATGTCTTGAATAGATCCACCCGGATTAGGAATATTCCGTATCGTAACAATAGCTTCAAGTTGAGTCCTCCCAAGATTAGCCAATAACATAGGGCTCCAACAAGGAGTTGCTACCATTTGTTGGGAGCCGTTCTGGGCCTCCATGTCAATGTTCTCAATGTCACGAGAAGATACACTCATCCCACTAGATTAACACAACCAATCGATAATACCAATTAATACTAATGGATAGGTAATAATCAACCCACCAAGCCTTGGGTTGCAACGATAGTACTTCACGTAAGGATGGTCCAACCAGTAAGGACCACAAACCAATAAAAGAACTCTTAATCTTATCTATACTTCACGTACAAGCTCTAGCTTACTTAGCTTGAATGTCTACGATCACACAGAGCAAACACTACCGCGCACGCCCTAAAATCAAGTGCTCAGTTTGCTCACAACACCACGTATGAATCGTACGGCAGCAGCTGATATGGGTCATAGCATCTTTACTGGAAGGTTGACTCTAAGACCTCATCGTCGCTCAGTACTTACACGTATTACTGAAGTACAGGATGATGATAAGCGTGACGCTTTAATGTGGTGCTATTTATGGTTACTTGCACATATGAGTATTACCGCGAAGCCATTCAGCAATGGACACCTGATGGGTTTGAAACTGAAGTGTCGCTTTCTCGGAAAGGACTGGAGTGCGTCTTATTCCCTCACTGGTATTGTAGACCGAAGTATGCTGAATCTGTGCAACGAGATATGGCAGACGCTCCAGTACAATTTTCCATGAAGCGAAGTTTTATGTGTAAATGCCATAACAGTGAGATTATTGACTACCGGGTGAACAAGCAATTGGTCGTGTTCCAGTATCAACGATACATATTTCGTACTGTTACGGGTGCAGTGGCAAGTGCTGGTCCTATGGCCCATGCAGGAAATGCGATCAATCAGAAGGCGTTCAGTACGTTTTACTGGATTAAGCAGCTATATAAGTTGCAAGATGTGGTTAAGCAACGGGGTTTGCCGACTTTGCTTGTCACGTTCACGATAAATGAACGTTCTTTTCCTTGGTGCCAGTGGTTATGGGACGACTTGGCTTTGCAGAATAATTTACCTGTTGATAATGCGGTTGGTGTAACTCTGCATGGACATCATGTACTTGATCAAATCCTGAAAGGCCTATTTGCTGGTAATGTACGTGAGGGTCGGGGATGTCCTACTATTCTGCGACATAACCGTAATGGACGTGAGTCTTTGGAATGTTTTTTCTATAAAATTGAATTTCAAATGCGTGGCACTCTACATGTTCATGCTTTATATTGGGTTTCTGCAATAGAAGAGAGTGTCCTCATAACTGGTAGTCGAGATGATATTCCAGAAGAAGATCCTACAATTTGTGGTTTAGTACGTACTATACAGATGCGTACTGTTTTCGTAGATGAACTTCGACGGTACTCTCCTTTACTGTTACGTGTTCTTCGCTCACACCATGACATACAGTATGGTACTCAGAGTGATCTTCTCTTAACGTATGTGACACACTATGTTTCGAAGGCTGCTGATGCATTGGATCTGAATAAAAGGCTATCTGTTGAAAGTGCACATCAAGCAGTCCTAGGGTATCTGTCGAAGTTGTCTATTGGTCTTCCAGAGATGGTACACACCTTGTCTGATAATAAGAGTGCTTATTTTTCGGGATTGGGCAAGGATATGACCTACCAAGTTCCCGGTGAGAAGAGAGATGAAACTGTGGAGGTCGTGTTGTATCGCGCAAGAGATGCGGCTGATGAAGATGTATCTTTTTTGTCCTTTTGGCGTGCCCATTGTATAAAGGTCGTGAATGGTCAACGTGTTGCGAGTGTGTATGTGAATGAACCATTTGTAGCTTTAGGAATAAATCCCCCCAAGATAACCAATGAATTATGGTGGGAATTCTTGGTCTTCACGGAAGTACATCATCGAAGTGATGATGATCTGCGTCCTGCTGACTTCGCTAGTCTACCGCCTACTGTGGCTTATTTTGCTTGCGCATACGATTTGTATCCAGATTTTCATAATGTTTCAACGTACGTTGGTTTACTCGTTCGTCTTGGCCATACGAAGTCTATGATCTCGGCTCTTCGTATGCGGTTCCAGTCTAAAGTAACCTTGCTTCGGTACTGTCGTATGAATTATGACAGAATTCAACAAATGCGTATTGCAGACCTTGGTAATTTGCCTAACCTGCGTGGTGAGCAGCTGCATGTTTATATGGAGTGTGCATCTCGTATGAAGTATTTTGCTGAACACAATCTTGATATCATTCGTGAGTCGGTGGATGATGAAAATTATTTACCTGATATTCTTGATGATGATGCTGTGGATGCAATCAATGAGCAACGACCAATGGTGGTGACGGGCCCACCAGGTATAAGCTATTGTTCAAAACATTGTAATAATTATAGTGGTAGTTGTAGGTACTGGAAAGACACTACTAATGTTACATATGGCTTTTCTGGCTATCCGTATCGGACTGAGAGTGAGTATTTCTTCACCGACGGGCAAACTAGCATCTAATTTCAAGAAGTTGCTCAATGACCCTGACTTGAAGGATGTTATTACTATCGACACTTGTCATGCTACGTTTGGATTTGGTTCGAATTCAAGCAGAAACAAGCCTTCACCGGTGTGGCCTAATGTTGATGTATTTTTGGTGGATGAACTCAGCATGGTTACGTACTTTCATTGTAACCATATTATTCGGCAATGGGAGTGTGAAGTTGCTCAACGACGAAAAGTCTTGATATTTTTTGGAGATTTCGACCAATTGCAACCTCTGACTGAACTTCGTTCTGGTCATGTAACAACTGTCTTGAGTGCTGCGCGAAGCGAGCGCTTACTCGCATTTGCTGATGGTATGGAACTGCATACAAACCATAGGTCTGGCAATGATAATGTCTTGAACGCTTTCTTGCAAGCATGTCGGGAGCAGCGATTGACGGCGCAAATGTGTAATAATTTTCGTCAAGGTCGTACTTTCGGTCATAGACCTTTGCGACAGCAAGATTTGTTGGACTTTTTCATACAACATGAAGACGGAGTCATTTTGACTATGACTAATAGGGCTTGTGATGAGATCAATGAGGCTGCTTTTGAAGTACTTGCTGCTAATCATCCAGTGGCCATGACAGTTACCGATGCATTTTATAGTCCTATGCCTATTGTGTTGGGACTAACAGATCGTTACTTGCTTACATCGAACATTGACAAGTCCGCCGATTTCGTGAACGGTATGTTGGTAACTCCAATTTATGTCGATGGAAAAAACGTTCTGTGTCGTACTTCTACTGGTAATCTGGTGAGTGTATACCCCTTGTATGATAATGACAAATATGTGTGGTACTACCCGATGAGATGTGCGTTTGGTGTTACTATACATAAGAGTCAAGGCGCAACTCTGAGTACTCCGGTTGGGATCTATTTCGACTGCCCTCCTCTGATGCAGAAGGGACAAGCATATGTAGCCGTGAGTCGTCTGAAATCGTATAACCAGTTGCACATTTTTGGAGATTTCAATCATCGAATGTTTTTCTAGCGTAATAACTAAGTGTTTGTTGGTCTTCACGTGAAATAAGGTATTCGATCTTTAATGCTTGTCTCATGGGTAAGTTTCCGACCCTAATGTCCGGGCCGTATAATGTAGTATGTTTCCGACCCTAATGTCCGGGCCTTTATTTTGTAATTGTAGTATGGGGTAATGGTTAAGGTGTTGGCCTTTCATGCGCGTGTCCCAGGTTCGATTACTGGGTTATGTATTTAAAGATTCAGACCATCGGACTTGGAGTAAATGTCTATGATTTGTATGAATGTGATGTGGTGTGATGGTTAAGGTGTTGGCCTTTCATGCGCGTGTCCCATGTTCGATTCCTGGGTTATGTACTTAAAGATTCAGACCTTCGGACTTCGAGTAAATGTCTATGATTTGTATGAATGTGATGTGGTGTGTATATATCAATGGATATTGCGAATCCAAAAGCCCCGAGATGTCCATCGTGTAGAGCGTGTCTTGTTGCATAGGAGGGTGTGTTCCGCTGTCGCGGAGGGGTGTGGCCACTTGCTGGTAACTACCGTTACAAGCTACTGAGGTCTATGTCTAGAGCGCCGGTAGCCGCCAATCCTTGGGGATGACTTTTTCAATGTGATTCCTGAATGTTGGCCATTGTCGCCCTCGTTGCTGCCGTTGTCACTTTCGTTGTCCTCAAAATCGTCATCGGATCTAATATCGTTGAAGTGCCTCTCGAGAAGACTCTTTCTCTGAGACCCATCTGAGATCAATGGTCAAGAACGATTCCGGCACAAGAGTAAATTTACCGGCTCGAGAACAGGAGGAGTTAGGAGCATTCTCTTCACCGGTCCTATGCTCGGCTTCCGCCGAGCCCTCTGAGGGTTTCTCTTTACGCATCTTTGAAGAGCGAGACGATGAGCGCGTCTAAGGGGAACAACTTCCGCGACGAAGTCAAAAGAAAAGGGGGGGCATTACCTGACGAGGCTTAGTGAGTTCGGCTATGCCCGCCGCATCCTGAGATGGTTCACCAGAGACCGTAGGGGCTTCGCCGGACTGATCAGCAGCTGCAGCACCCTCAGAGGGCTTGCCTGGA